AAGGAAGGAAGGAAGGGAGGGAGGGAGGGAGGGAGGAAGGGAGGAAGGAAGGAAGGAAGGAAGGAAGGAAGGAAGGAAGGAAGGAAGGAAGGAAGGAAGGAAATATATGGGGGGAGGGGGAGAAAGGTGGAAAGAAAGCAAGGGGAAGGGAAGACGGATCGGGGAAGCATGTCTTCCCTTCGCTTCCCTAGCCGCCCTGATGAGAGCTGCACAATGTGTGTGAAAGAGCTGCATGCGGCTCCCGAGCCATAGTTTGGCCACACCTGTTCTAGAGACTGTCCCCAGAGAGCCAGCATGATACAGTGGTTACAGCGTCATACTAGGATCTGGGAGATCCAAATTCACATCCCTGCTCTGCCACGGAAGCTTGCTGGGTAATACTCTCTCAGCCTAACCTACTTCACAGGGTTGTTGTGAGGATAAAAGAGAAGGCAGAAGAACAACGCAAGCTTTGGGACCCCCATTAGCTAGAAAGGTGGGGTACACATGAAAATAAAATTTAAAAAATACAATTTAACTGTAGTGCTTTCCTCGGGAAGGTGTCAGCATCAGCTGAACAGATCCCCGAGATCCAGTTTAGCATTTATGTTGCCCGTTGCTGACAAGCTAGCCATTCCAAAATTACTGGAAATAAATAGAGGGAAGGCAAAACAGATGGCTTAAATGGATATCACAACAGGCTAATGCTGTTAGAAGGAATGAGCTGAACAGAAGAAGAAGGAAGCTACTAGAAGCTTCATGTTGTTTTTACCTCTTTTAAAAATGCACTCAGTTAGGCCTGTGTTCATGATGAATGCAGCCCACCAGCAACGTATGGTGACCCACAAAGGACTGGATAAGCCTTCTGTTTGTGCTATCTGTCTGGGACGGCAAAAGCCAGGTGGTTCTTGAGCACCTGGCAGGCTACAGTGCATGGCTGGTGGGCTACATTTGGCTTCACAGGTCGTGCAGGCCTGTCTTAGATAAACATTTGAGGAGAGCAAGCAGAAAGTAACAATGCTTGGCTGATGACTGGGAAGTTACAGTTGCTCTGCAGCTGCAAACAGACCAATCTAATTTACCTCCCGTTACAGCTTCTCGAATGGCAGATGGATTTGGATCCTGAATAGGGCTGCCAAGTGGGGGCGGGGGGCAGGTAACCCCCCGCTTTGGAGGCTCGATTTCCGCCGCCGCAGAATCGGGCCCCGGGGCCGCCCCCCCAAAGCGCAGCGTGGCTGCGTCATTGGAGGTGACGCAACCACGTCACTCACGTTGGGGGTGTGGCCCTGATCGTTGGAGGGAAAACTCTATGGTTTTCCCTCCGATGATCGGGGCCACGCCCTCAACATGAGCGACATAGCGCGTCACTTCCTGTGATGTGCTGGCGGCGCGCACGCGCGCATCGCCGGAGAGCTCCCAGAGCCCGGCGAGGCTCCCCTGCCGCCAAGGTAAGTAGACTTGGCAACTCTAATCCTGAATGGCTTGCGCAGCCAGAAGTCACACTGCTACACTGATCGACTTGAAATATTACAGGAAGGGTTTTATGCATGCTTGAAAAAGTGCTACTTCATGCTTTCATTAGGGCCAACCAGAATTTGTGATAGGCCGTCCCAGCATGCCAAGTGCTTGTTAAGAAGGGGAAACCAGTTCTCCCATAAGAAGAAGGGATCCTCATTCATGGACAATGGAGCCCCCACCGGATCGTTAAAGAAGATTGAATTGCCCTCTAGTATCCTAGTTCCATCATTATGATTGGCTGTCTAATAAAGACCATCCATTGGTCCTGAAGCCACCTAAGGTAACAAATTGCAGAACTCTGCTTAGGTCCAATCAGACCTTCTGTATATTTTACACTGTATATAGTTTACTACTGGAACTGTATAAATTTGAGTGCCGCTCTTTGCAGAGCAGTCCTGAGCTGAGCAATGTTTTGAATAAAGGCTTTCTTCGTTGACCATCGTCTCCTGCCTTCAATACCTAAAAGAAGAGACTGTGTTTCATGTAGTGCTCGTCTTAATGAAACTCTGTGCTCTGTGTTTTGTTTCACCGACACCAATGCTTCAAGTACGTGAACATTCCTATGACAATCAGGACAGATTTAAAACCACTAGCTTAGATTTAAATTCACTAAATGCACTGAAATACGCAATTGTAGCAAAATCAGACAGAAAGAATCAAGGGCGGGGAAAAACCAAATCGAATGAACTACCTCATGCCTTTCTTCAGTTAGTTGAGGAACTAAGCCTGGTGGATATATGGAGAGTCAGAAATGGGAATAAGTTAGATTTTACTTATTTCTCCTCCCATCATCAATCATGGTCCAGGATCAATATGATCTGGGCCTCTAGTACGACCCTTACAGATGTTACAGGAATAGATATTCTTCCATCGACCTTCGCAGATCACTGCCCCATTGCACTAGAATTTCAAGACACTCCCACAGCCAGTGTGGTGCAGTGGTTAGAGTACAGGAGCAGGACCTGGGAGAGCTGGGTTTGAAAGCTTCCTTGCCTCCCCCCATTCAGTGGACCAGGCACTCTGTCTGAGCCTAACCTACCTCATAGGGCTGAAGTAGAGATACAATGGCGGAGGGATGAACCAGTTAGTTTACCGCAAAGGTGGCGTTAAAATGCAAAAAAACAAAAGCAAAGACAGTGAAATACATATCAGACGATATGCTTTGTAAGGCCAGACTAGATGTATCCTGCCAGCAAATGCATGATAATAAGTCAATCGCTAAGAGATAAGGAGTCCTCAGATGCAGATAAGCCCGGCTGTTTATTTTGCTGAGGGAATGTGGATTGGAAGGGAAGGAAGTAGCGACTGCGGATGTGAGCACAAGCAAGTAGAGCCCTGGGAACCTTCAGAGGAAAATCAGCATGCAAACAGAAAGGGCCGCCTCTTTCTCAAGCAATCTGAACTCATGCTTGAACAATTTATGACCCTACAAACCAAATGCAGTCTGCTAGCCATGGGCTCATCCTTTTTTTTTTTTAAAGCATACTTTTGTACAGTGCCTAGTTGCTAGGCACTTATTAAATAATCGTTACCTGTGGCAAACTGTCAAGGGATCAATAAAGTTGTCCTTGGAAAGCAAAAACAAGGGGTTTGTAGCAGGCAGGCTGCAATATATGTCTGATGGGCTGAGTTGATTTATTGGTTTACTTCAGCTTTACTCCACCTTTGGGGGGGGCACAGTGGCTCCCTTCATCCTCCTCTCCTCCATTTTATCCTCACAACAACCCTGCGTGGTAAGTCAGGCTGAGACTGTGTGACTGGCCTGAGGTTCTAGAAATTTTGCACACTGGCAGAGCAAAGAAATCAGCATTCACAAAGGCAAATGTGTCCAAGCACAGGATTCTGAACAATGGAGCTGAACAATAGCTACAGCTACCCGGCACACAGATTTTTTTTTTAAAAAAGACTCCTCTTGGCACTGTGTCAATCCCACATGTGAGGAACATAATAGAAGGAAATTCAGTTCCTAAACAGATAAACAAAAGAATTGCCAAGTGCTGTCCCTGCAAGTGCGATTATCGCCCCCATTGCCAATGCAGCTGCAAATTTAAAGCCCATTTCCATTGCTTGTCAAGAATGCCTGCTTAGCAGCCTCGGTCTTTGCTTCCAGTGCTGTAAATAATGGCCCACCTCTACGCAGTTATAACTTGCAGATGTGTAGAGACGCTGGGGTTGGGATGTTCCATCCCATGGCAAGAAAGCTTCTGAGCCACTCCATGGGACTTTACAACCCTAAAGTAATTACGCGCTTCCTTATGCTTTTCATCTTAATCAACATCAGTCCATTCTGTTTTGTTTAAAACAAAACCTTGATTCCTGTAAGTCCTTATACAAACATCACATCTTTGGGCTAAATAAAAATGGAAGTATATCCCCTGTGCAGAAATAGTAGGTGTCCCGGCTTCATAGGTATCCTAGCCCTCTCTCCAGACCTCCCTGTATTTATCAAGGTTAGCAGATCAAACTTCAGGGTGCAGGAATCCTCACACTAAAAGGGCCTTATCATTTACATTGTCTCTGTGATTAGCAATAAGAATAATTAGGTGTGTGGCCATGGAACCCACAGCTACCCGAGGGCATTGGGTGTAAAACGGATTTACCTGATTTTAATCCCACCCTTCCTTCAAGGAGTTCAGGGTTGGGTGGTTTTTTTTTTTTGACTTTTTTATTCTCACATCAATTTTATTCACCATTTTATTCTCACATCAATCCTATGAGCTTGGTTAGGCTGAGAGCCAGTGGCCTTGTCAACAGTAGTAAGGCCCTAGATGCAACCTGGAGATCTCATTTGAACACAGGAAGTTGCCTGATACCAAAGCAGAGTGGCAGTGGTTCTCCATGGTCTGAGCCAGAGGCCTTTCATATAAGCCACTACTTAGTCCTTTTAAATGGGATTGAACCTACAAACACCCAAAATGCACACATGTGCATCAGTGCAGAGGATGAAATGTTTCAAGGACTAACTAACAGTTCAGCCCACCTCAGCCCTGAATAGTGATCTTACTTACCTTCATAGAGCTGAGCATACTGTGGGAACCCTGCTGCCCGGAGCCAATCGCATGCTTCCTTGGCCTCAATTTCTGAAAAATAAGGAGGATGCACATCATAAATGATGATTTGCAAAGCACAATGCATTTAAATTCAAGGAAGAACTTTAGCGAAATACCACTTATTCCCAAGCTTCAGTATCCCAGGTTTTTATTTCATCTTCCATATCCATGGCTTTACAAAAGCACTCTAATTCCATCAGCCCCAGCCAGATGTGGCTAAAATTATGCTCAGCTTCATATACTTAATGGCTGCACTCCAGAGCATGGGCACATTAACAGGCTTCTGCTGCAAGCTACAGCTTACAAAGGTCCACAAGCTGGGGCTGCAGTTCATTGCCCAGTAAACAATGGGAGAGCCTGGCTCAGGGCTACACTGCCGGCTCAGACGTCTTTGTAAAAATAAACCCTGGCAAAACTAAATGGGTGCCATTATTAGATAATGCAAGCTAAATTAATACCACTAAAAAACCCTTTTAAATAAAAATGTCTTATTTCAGCATTGCGTGCATGTTTTGGTACAAGTACTTTTCAGATTGAAATACCTAGCAAAGCTAATGCCCAAGCCTTCCAGATCATGTAAATAATACCACTGGACCTAAATCCTAGGAACAACAGACACATTGTGTTACAGTGCACTCAAGCACACATTTACTACCCAAGTTAACAGCAGAGGAGCAGTGGAGGTCTCCAAGGTATTTATGAGTTACTCAGTTTACATACAGTTTATTTGCTCCAGCTCCACTTTCTTTCTCTTGCGCTTTGCCCCCGCAAAAATATACTATTTGGCAGGATCCAACCATTCACAAATATGCATGTGAGGCCAGGAGAAAGGGAGTATGTGCCGATCCTTCAGTTACATGCTCTGTTTTCATATCAAGCATGCCAATTCGTCTAATTAATTCGGATTCTCCTCCCAGAATTCAGACCAAGGTTGACATGTCAAAATCTGGATGAGCTGGAAGCAAATTAAAAGCTCTAGTTGATCTCTCCGGAGCCTTGGTTGTACTGCATCTCTCACAAAGGTGCAAGCCAGAACTTAATGGAGATTTAAGTTCCATCCCAACAAAATACTTCTATATGAGTGGGTGGGGTGGGGGAATCTTTGTTTTCCTTTTAACTAAAATGAATACCGGCCAGGCTGTTCTGATGCCTGTCTGGGAAGCTACAGTACTAACCTAAGGAAGCCACGTCTTGCCAGGATTCAGACTCACAATGGCTCTTGGACCGATATCTTGAAAGGAGGTCTGGTGGAGATTCTCTGCTTATCAGTCACTTCAGCCAAGGAAGCCTCCATGCACCAGTATGGCAGGAGTAGGGCGGGTGATATTCCCCATACCTTCTAAACTGGCTGGGCTTACTTATTGGTCTGAGCGACCTCGGCTGCAATCACACACGCCTTTAGATCCAATATAGCTGTGAATGCCTGACAGATCTAAAGGGCACGATCAGACAGCAACATTTGGGAAGCGTCCCGCAATTGTCTGCAGAAGCGGAGTTAAAAGACACAGGGGAAGGTCCGGTAGTAAACGGGTTCCAACGGGCCAGGGACGGACTTCTCCCTGTCTGATCGAACAGGCATGCACTCATGCTGTTAGGATGGTCTGATCAGGCCATTCCGGCTTTGTGCCATTCCCCCCCCCTTCGCAGTATGTGCATCATTGCATACTCCATAGGGGGCCCTCAGTGCAGTGGTATGATTCCTTGTTTATGCGCATGGGAAACAAACACGCCCCCCCAAAAGAACGACTCACCCACAGTTGCATCTGATCACACAGTGACGAGCTGCGCCCGCTGTTACAAAGGGCTGTGTGATCTCGCAACTGCAGGTCAAATTCCTCCGGAGGAGATAGCCTCACTTTCCCCTCCGCTTCAACTGGTGTGTGTGACCACAACCTTGGAGACTCCCTCTCACTTTAGACCACTTTTGCTTTGCTCGCTTTCTGCCCTCACCACATCTCATTCTCGACCAGGAACCAGGTTGGAGGGCAACACTATACACGATGGTATGGCGGAATCCCTTCTTCATAAAGTTCTACCCAGGGCTCTTTTTGTAGAAAAAGCCCAGCAGGAACTCATTAGCATAATAGGCCACACCCAACAGCAGGAACTCATTAGCATATTTGGCCACACCCCTGACAGCACAGCTCATTAGCACATTAGGACGCACCCCCATGTTACCAGAAGTGTGGTTATCCAGCCACACCCACCTTTTGCTTGTTATTCTGTTGACCTTGTTTGTTGTCAAAACCCAGGGCCTTTTTTGTAGCAGGAACTCCTTTGCATGTTAGGCCACACACCCCTAATGTAGCCAATCCTAATGAGTTTCTGCTGTTGGGTGTGGCCTATAATGCTAATGAGGTTCCTGCTGGGTGTGGCCAACTTGGGAGCCAGCCGGAACTCCGTTCCTATGCGTTCCTGCCCCAAAATAGCCCTGATGGTATGGCAGAATCTCTTCTTCATAAAGTTCTACCTGAATACATGTTGTTACGGATTGACTATTTTCAGCCAGCTCTTCTGGCTGAGTTTCATTTAGCCAGACACACTCGTTCTCCTCTCAGCTTGTTAGCTGCCAATGCCCAACTGCTCTCTTAACTGCTGCTTTTCAACGGTTTCTACCCAACGTTCTGTCAGCTTTCATTGGTCCCTCTTAAGGGAGAGGTGGAACCTAACCTGTTTAGAGCTGTTTTTAATCCAAGACCAGCAATAACCACATCTGGAAGAAAAACCAGTACAAGACGGTGTTACGGAAGGAGAACATGGATGGGGGTGGGGTGGAGAACAAGCTCTCACCTCTCACCCTTCCTGCACTTAAAGCTTCCCCACCCCCATTTACAGGGAGGGGTAGAATGGATTCTGTTCGGGGCTGTGTAACCAATACATTTAGTTTGGCCCTGACAGCAAGAGGCAAATTTGCCCGCAACAATTTCAGTTCTAGGTCAAGTTCCCAGAGCAGAGTTTAGAGGTCTGACATTGAGGCCTACTGTGAGCCACAGAACTGAACTGCAGTGAAAGAAGAGTTTGTATACCAGGAGGTCCTGTCCTTTTAAAGGGAAATTACTAAACAGGGAAATAATATTTATGTTCTGTTATTTTGGAACAAGCACTACTCATAAAAACTCATGGGGAGAGAGCAGCAGAGAAGAACTGGGGGGGGGGAATGCAGAGATGATAAACCAGGGAACTCTGGAGCAGCTGGATTAGACGTGATCTCCTCTGAAAGTCAATACCAGTAATTAGCCTGGCCCATAAATTGTTGAAGCCTCATTTATGACAGAATGGGAAACTATAAAAATGATTTCCACGTAAGAAAGCCAAACTTAAAAATCCAGCTGTCAGTAGCAATTTTCTAGAACATCCTCTTCTCTTTATCACATACTCATTAGAGTTAAGTGGATCTTTTTAAAACTAAAAATGAATAAATTTTAGAGAAAACCAAAGCCAACTGCTTGGCAGCTAGGCAACACCCATAATAGCTTGTCTTTTCAAAACATGCCCCAGCCCTAGCCCAAATTATGTATATACTGACACCCGAACTTGGCTCTTGATAGTCAGTGTTTTGAAATATACATTTTAAATTAGCCTATAAGACATTAAACGATATTTGAAGCCCAAACATTTTTCTTCTTGCTCAAAACCATTTTGCATAAGATGAATATTAACCTGCCAGTCAGTCAGATTTTACTTCATTAAAGAGATAATGGTGAATGGTCAAATGCTTACTGTTTATCCACTCTTCAGCCCTATTCGATCTCTTTAACAGACCAGGGCAAAAAAGTTAACACAAAAATTATGAGAGAGTTGGCAAGACACATTGATTTGAAACTTTAATCTCCCCCCCCCATAATTTTTTAAAAATAATAATAGAAGAATAAGAAGAAGAAGAAGAACAGAAGAGATTGGATTTATACCCCGCCCTTCACTACCCAAAGGTGTCTCAGAGCAGCTTACAAACTCCTTTCCCTTCCCCCTCCCCACAACAGACACCCTGTGAGGTGGGTGGGGCTGAGAGAGCTCTGACAGAAACTGCTCTTTTCAAGAACAGCTCTTATCAGAACTATACATCGATGGATGCATAATAGTTAAAGCACATCTTGTGGCCAAAGCCATGGGCTGCAGCCTTCCAGCTGAATGTGCAGGCCATCAAAGGGGCTGGGAACTCTCTTTTTGCCTAGTATCTAGCACTGCCTAACTTTTCTATTCCTATGCCATAATGTCAGCATGATGCATTTTGCTTCATGGCCTGCAATTTGTGTCTAGGTCACAGCATATGTGTTTTGGCAAAACTGAATTTTCCTGAAAAATCAGGTCATATTTATAGTGCTGCAAATCCATGCACAACAAACCTGTCAGTAAGCTCCTCCCTCCCTCCCTCCAAACTATTCAACCCATTTGCCTCTTAAAAATGAAGAACTGCTTTTTGCAGGGTGTACTGCAAGGTGAGATATGCACAGAAGCTGGAATCAAAACAGCCTAATTCCTAGCATTGGTGGGCACACTTAAGTCCGTTGCTTTCAAAGCGTTTAGGCGTACGTAGGTTTGGACAGGTTCAGGCGGCAAGACAAATACCTAGAATTTTATGTTCGAAATATGCTCTTTCTATATCCTTTTAAGACATGCCAGGTGACTAGGATCACAGTTGCAGGCCTCAGCAACACATTCACTATACTATGGTCCCGTTCACACGCGGCTATTTGGTCCGGGAGCGGGACAGTTCGGGGCCGGATCAAACCGGCGCGATCACACCACCACATCTGGGAAGCGTCTTGCTTCCGTGGCCGAACTGTCCCTTTCCCGGGATAAGCCGGCGCAAACTAAATCACCTATCTAGGTGGTTTAAAGGGAAGCGGCGCGGCAACGGGGCGTTTGATCGCCGCCGCTTCCCTGCGCCGGCTCAACCCCGGCCCGGATCCGAACTGTGCATGCCCGGACATGCGCAGTTCGGCCGGCCCCCGAGTAGGGCGTGTTTTCTCCCCGGCGTTTGATCGTGCCGGGGAGAAAAGGCGGCGCGGCCGGGGGATCCGTGAGATCCC